CTGCTAATTTTACCATAAAATTAAAAAAAATTGATGTTAATCAAACTTTGACCTCGAATAACTCTAGAAGAAATCAATTTATCGAAAAATAATAAGAGACCTTTTTTTGTAGAGCGTTACATTTTATATAAGAAACTGCAATGATTATTGCCATAAGTTACTTTGATACAGAGGTATAAAATTCCAAACATAAAATTATTTTTTCCCATGTTAATTAAATGGAAAACTAAAATAAAAACAGCGACCTCTTAGAGTTGAGCTGGAACGCCCATATTTGAGGAGGATTTTTTTTATAGTAAATAGAAACATTTGAGGGGGTAAGAGCGAAAAAAAAATTTAATTTAATTTTTGAAGCACCCTAGTATATATATTTACACTTATAAACATTCTTTTAAAAAAATGCACGGTTTTTTAGGATAACTTAACCGATTATTTTTTCGTCTTCCTATTTATATTTTTTATCTTTCCCATCTCCCATTTTCAATTTCATATTCAATATTCTAACAAAGTAATCAAGTTTTGGCCTTGAGGGGATAACGATGGATAAGGACTAAAACTAGCGATTAACTGCAAATTTACAACTTTTTTAGACAATTAGACTGAATTATAGTTATATTATAATATTGCCATTAAATTGTAATATTGCATAAGAAATTGGATCAAACGCAGTAATTTAAATGATAAAATTACCGAATTTGGCAATTATTTTTGTTAACGTAATGTAATTCCCAAGTAAGTAATTGGGTATTTTTAGGGCATTACGAATTTCCTATTTAAAGTAATTAACTATCAATGCCAATTATTATTAATTTCCTATAATGTTTGGCGTTAAAAGATGATGCTATAGCATAAAAATGATCTTTGTATAATAAAAGATACGTAGTATACAGTGTGTTTCACCAAAAACTATAACGACAGCATACAAGGAAAGCTTTGGCTAAAAATGCAATTATTAGCCATGAAACTATAATATATATATATTATAATATATTATAATGGGCCATTACATAATCAAACGTATGTGTTTGCTGAGTTATTACAAAGGTAATCATATACAAAATGACCTATTTTGCAAGATTTAACAATATTTTTTTCCTCCATACAATTGTGGACCACCTTGCAGGGGTACAATGGCATCTTTTCTTTTTATAATGCTTTTTAATGTACTAAAAAATAAAACAAACCGAAATATTCATTAATTAAGTTACCTAATTGTTTATAAAAATAATATTTATTAATTTAATTTTAAGGTTATTATGCAAAAAAATCATTTAATTAGGATGGTTTAAATTGTTTTATTGTTTTTATAAAATTTATTAATTTAAGAAAACAATTAATTATGGCTGTTAAGAAATAAACGCCAACATTTTTTAATTAATTAGATATTAAATAAGACCTTAAGAAGTTTTGAGCATAACAATAACACCCATTCCAGAAACTGATTTTAAATTATTATGGTCAGATGTGTTTTAAAAATTATGGGATTTTTCAGGTAAAACTTTAATTAATGGTAAAAACTTGTAAAATTAGTCAAATATTATTTTTTTATTCCTTAAAATTAATTTTTCCACACCAAAATAATTTGATATGCACACGCAGAACATTGATTGCGGTCAAAAACAACTTGTTTAGCAAACATTACAAGACTTAAAAAAAGTTGTTGGCTATCCTGTAGCAAAATGGCTGTTGACCAGTGTTTTCTGCATATTTGAAATTTTATTTATGACTTTTCTTGTAAAACAAAATTAAATTTTATTTTTTTAAACAAAAAACAGTCGCCCAAATCCTCCAAATACCAAAACAATTTTTTAGAGTTTAAATATATCTGACATTTTATATTTATAACCCATTCCATGAAAGTGCATTAAAGATTGTAAACAATCTTCAGACGATAACATGCAATTAATATGAAACGCCATAAAATATTTAATTAATTAATTCAATATAGTTGGGTACATTTTTAAGAAAAATAAATGAAGTTTTTTTAAGAATATTTAAAATACTACGCAGTAAAAAATATTTGTTAATTTTAATCAAATATTAACCAGATTTCATGTTAATTTAGGTCCATATAACTGTTTGTTAAGTTTACAACCAATTTAACCATAATTCTTGTAAAGAGGACTTTATTTTTACAAATCTTTTTGTAAACCCAGTAACAAAAGTATTTGTTGGAAATTGGGAATCTAAATGAAAGAATTTTGATAAGAAATGTTGCTTTATATATAACTTTAAAATCTGTTAAAATATTTCATGGGAGGAAAATCGTGTTGTACTGTGTAATGAATCCGAATAATAATAATAAGTCATTCCAAATAAAAACACCAAATGGGGTGCGCTGCTTGATTTTCTATTTTGATAAAAAAAATTGAGGATGATCTTTTGGGTATCAAATATAAAAATCCGTTGCCGTTTTAATTTTTGGATTCTTTCTTTTTAATCGGCACCCTTTAGAAATCTGAAATCGTGCCAATTTCTTACTCTCTTATAGTGGGCCAGAACTTTTTTCTGTGACAAATATTGAAATGATTTTAATTTTGTATTACTGTTCAGTAAGGGTGTTTTCGATATAAATTATTATTATCCAATTAGTTAATCTCATAAAAGAATGGTAAACCACTAAAGATTCATGATAATTTGCCAATTTTTGTGATTTTTGTCTGGCTCCTGTGCCTATTCTACTCATTGGCGGATCCAAGGGGGGGGGCGATGGGGGCGATCGCCCCCCACGGAAGTAAGTTATCAAGTTGAAATTGAATATAACTTTTTAAATTAATATAGAAAATAATAAAAAAAATGGAATAACTTTAATTTCAACTTTCTTATTATTTACAAAAATTTTCAACTCCGCCACCCCCAATGACACATTCTAGATCCGCCCCTGATTCTACTAAATCTAGAAAGTTATTTTTTTTCAGGTATCAAGTACTTATACAATAGAAAACGTAAGTATTATTTTAAGTTTCTAGACTATCATTTTCTTTATTAAAAAAATTATTGAAACTTGATAATTCTTAAAATTAGTCAATTTTGCCCTCAGAAATAATTATGTTGAGGAAAAAATAAAAATCTGAAACTTTCAGGAAATGTAGTCCCCACCTTCTTCTTTTTAGTCCAGTTAGTCTTGTTTTGTTATTTTTATTCCTTTAAACGATTTATTATTTTTTTAATGCCCGTTTAGTAGCGATATTGTTAGTTTTATTTATAATTTAAAATTTAGATGGCTTTCATGTTTGGTGGAGAAGTGTCAGAACTGTCAAAAATATTTCATAAATATTATTTGTGCGTATTTCTTTGGTAAATTTTGTATATAACATAATATGTCATATTATGTTATATACAAAACTTTTTAAAATCACCAAAGGAATACCACAAATAATAATTATGAAATATTTTTGACAGTTCTGATATATTTGGTAGTTATGTTATATTTTATGTATTGTATAATCATATAAATACATATAATATACAATATACAATATATAATTTACACAATCTGTAAATACTTCTTTAAATTTTAGTTTTTAGGTAACTGGTAAAAATAAAACATGTTATAATAAAGGGGTTTATTTAGAATATTTTTTGGTTTTTGCTTATTTTTAACAATTTAAAACTTGAATATTTTCTATGAGAAAGAGGTACAAAATTATGATATGTTCTTGAATTTTTAATTGCAATTAAATTCATGAATCTCGAACACTCCGTCATTTATTACACTTGCAAACTTGCAAACTTTTTGAAATCACAATTTAAATACGCACAAATAATATTTATGAAATATTTTTGACAGTTCTGACATTTCTCTACCAAACATGAATTGACTAAGTCAAAGCCATCTAAATTTTAAATTATAAATAAAACCAACAATATCGCTTCTTAACTGCATTATAAAAATTATTATATCTTTTACATGGATAAAAATAACAAAACAAGACTTACTAAACTGAAAAGATGAAGGTGGGGACCATATTTCCTGAATGTTTCAGATTTTTATTTTTTCCTCAACATAATGATTTTTGAGGGCAAAATTGGCTAATTTTGAAAATTATCAAGTTTCAATAATTTTTTTAATAAAGAAAATGATAGTCTAGAAACTTAAAATAATAGTTACGTTTTCTATTGTATAAGTACTTGATACCTGAAAAAAAGCCACTTTCTAGACTTAGCAGATTAGGCACAGGAGCCAGACAAAAATCACAAAAATTGGCAAATTATTACAAATCTTTAGTGGTTTACCATTCTTTTATGAGATGAACTAATTAGATAATAATAATTAATATTAAAAACATACTTACTAGGCAGTAAAATAAAATTTCAATTATTTCAATAATTGCCACAGAAAAAAGTTTTAGCCTCTTATAAGAGAGTAAGAAAATGACACGATTTCAGGTTTCTAAAGAGTGCCGATTAAAAATAAAGCAACTAAAAATTAAAACGGCAACGGTTTTTCATGAAAATATGCATATATGATACCCAAAAGATCATCCTCAAATTTTTTCATTAAAATAAAAAATCATGCAGCGCACTTTTAAATTTATTTTTGGTGTTTTCATTTGGATTGACTCTAATAGATTTCTGGTAATATGTTATAAACACTCTGGACAGTTGTTACAAACACGTTACAAATTAGAATAAAGTAAGCATAATCATAAGTTGCAGAAGTCAGTTGAACTTGTTGATGCGTATTGTCAGTAATAAATGTTTTGATTGGCTGCCTGAAATCACGTGTACTTTTTCAACAAAATAATTTGTTAAACATTATCAAAATGCTTACAAAATTGCATTTTACCGTTACAAAAGTTTCGGTAAAATATTTTCCTTTGTTAAAATAATTCCAAACCCTGGTTTTCTACAAAAAAATATGTTAAAATTTAAAAAAATAAAATGTAGTGCACTACTAATTTCTGCGTCACATCCCAGTTCTTATTGCACGATAAGCGATCCCCAAAACCTGACAAAAATCAACTTGACACAAGAATCGCGACCTCCAGCAGAATTTAGCGCGACTTCGCAATCAGTATCGAGTTCCGTCCGCACGGGTGAAGCACGAAACGACACTTTCGCAAAAATCGGTGCCGAAATGTTTTTTGCCGCTGTCCTGGCCGGCGTTGCATTGGGGGTGGTCAGCGCCGCCCCTTTGGAGCCTTACTCCAGCAGGTACGAGCACATCAACGCCGATATGATTTTGAATAATAAGAGACTGATGACTTATTATGCCACGTGCATGTTGTCCAAAGGGCCGTGTCCGCCGGAAGGGTTGGAATTTAAACGTGAGTGTGATTTTAATTTTTTTTCATGTAAGTACATTGTGTAGGTAATCAGCTCGCCATTTTAATTCCATTATTATTATTATTATTATTATATCCATAAAAAGTTGGTTAAATGAGCAAATTGGTGGCATTTTTTCTTGTGATTAAAATGGTAAAACAAAAAAACAATTGAACGTCGGGTTTCCAAAATATTCACAAAAATATATTATCAAGAAATACAACAAGTTTTATTGTATCCGAATAAACGTATTTTTCTTCATAAATAATTAACTATCCTATAAATTAATTTTTTTATCTAATTATTTTTTTTCATATTTTTTTTATCTAATTATTTTTATATCAAATTATTTTTTTATGAAAGTAATTTTTAGCAAATTATTTTCTATGCAAATCAAAAATTATTGATGACTAAAAAATTATTTGATAAAAGACAATTGTTAACGGGCGTTAATACATTTTTACTGAAGCAACGTTGTGGTCATCCAGGGGATTTTGATTTGCATAGAAAATAATTTAATAAAGAAATAATTAGATTTAAAAAAATAATTTGATAAAAAAGTTATTTGACAAAATAGTATATTATGTATCAAGTTTGATAAACGCCATTTTATACACGAATTTAATTTAGGCACGAGCGAGCTTGCGAGCGAGTGCTTAAATTAATGAGTGTATAGAAAAGTTTATAAACGAGGTGCATACTATACTTTTTCTACGAAAAATACTTATTATTATCTTAAAATGATTTAAATCAAAAATTTGTATAGAGCGTCATCTATGAGACAACAGGGGAAACTGTGTCACCGTCAAATGTCACGTTTTTACATTTTATAAACACAATTATAAAGGTTATAAATCGAAATGTATATTGAAAATTGACAGTTCTTCACAGTGAAAGTAAAGGAAATGTTTTATGAGGACTTTACAGTAGAGTCCGTGCCCGAATTTAAGTTATAGTTTACTGCCGGCGAAATTAAAAGGTCATATAAACTTTTTAAATATTGGTGTTGAAAACTATTTCATATTTTTTGTGTTTTTGTATTGAGATAATAAAATAATTTTCACATTTAGTATTATTTCACAAGAAAGGCACTTTATTTTAACGATTGTATGACATTTGACAACTGTCAACTACCTTAAAACTAACTTCATCCCGTGACTAAAGCGCCATAAAGCCACAACTTGTCAATGTGTATTTAAAAGGTCACTTAGTGTCATGGAAACATGTACGATAAAGGGCGTTTTAAAGGTGGGAGTAGAAAAAATAATTTAATAAAACATAATTTGATAAAAAAATAATTTGGTAAATAATGCATGTAATTAAATATTTAAAGCAAAATAAGTTTATTTTGCACTTTTAATTTTGTCACAAACGGCCCCTCATATTTAACCTAACCTAATTTTAGATATCTTATAAAATGGCTTCTGTTTCATTTGACTTATTATAATAAGTCAAATGAAACAGAAGCCATTTTTTTCAATTAATAACAAATTTATTTATAATTTGAATTTAAATAATTAATTGATTTATTAAAGATAATTTGATAAAAAATTATTCGATAAAAAAATTATTTGATAAAAAAGTTAGGTATTTGATTCAATTCAATAACATAATTTGACAAAAAAATAATTTGATTATAAAAATAATTTGGTAATTATTGCATATAATTAATTATTTATAAGTAACTTTTAATTTTGTCACAAACGGCGCTACATATTAACCTGCAATTTTAGATATCTTAATAAGCCAAATTAAACAGAAGCCATTTTTTTCAATTAATAATAATTTTATTTATAATCTGACTTTAAATAATTAATTGACTTATTGATTGATTGATTGATTTAATTTACTAAAGAAGAAATAAATAAAACCATCGCAGAATGTCTAAAATTACCAATAAACGTATTAAATGTTTTATGTATAAAAATAAAGATAATTAATAACAATTTGAACATTTCCTCTTTAACAAACATAACAAACAATTTAGCAATAATTATAGTTGTTGGGGTTTTTATTAAAAAAAATTGAGAACAAACAAATTTCTCTTTTTTCTATTTATACAGTCTCAACTAGTCGATAGAAATAATTATTAAATAATATTGTTTAGGCAATTTAAATTATTAAACATTATTTTATTTTTTGTTGCATATATACAGGGTGCACCAAGTATTAGTGTTATTAGTTATTGGAAGCTTAAATTAGCGAAAAGTTACAAGCCTATTAAAATAAAATTTATAAATTAAAAAAAAACAGCGGTTCTCAAATTATTTCAAAAAACTAAAAATCTTTTAAAATCAAAAATGGTTATACCCTGGTTATTTCTGGGAATTTTGAAAATAAGTAAGTTTTACATGTTTTAAAAAATATCTTTTGTTTTTATAATAGCCGCCACTAATTAATTTGTTAAAATTTTAACTTTTGGGCTTGTACATATTCTTATATATAAAAAGAGTTTTTTTGAGGGAATATATTCCCTCATATTTGGTGGTGGCATTAAAATATCACACCAGGATGAAAAATATTGCTTTTAAATTTTATTATAAACTAAACTAAAGTTGTACTTGGGTCTTTTATTAAACTTTTTTTTCGAGAGGTAATAGTTTTAATATTATTCTATTATGACAACCGCATTAAAGCAATTATAATAAAACCTTTAGATGAATCTTATTCTACTAAATTTTAAGATGCATAATCTTTTATTGTAAAAACATTTTTAATGTCAACATAGGCGTCGCATTTGGAAAGGTTAACTCTCATTTTTATGATCAACGGACATTTTAAAGCATCCTAACAACTTATTATTATGTCAAAAAAATTAAATTTTGACCTAAAGAAAGAAAATATGAAATATGTTTTAGCAATATCCGAAATGGAATTAATTACAAATTACTATATGTATATATATTTAGGGTGAGTCATTTAAGATAAAACTTTGAAATATGCATTTTACGAAAAAATGTTTAAAATAAAAATTAAACACCCTATTTTTTATTGCAGATTCGGATCATTCAACTAAAAATAGGTAGATTTTGTCTAAAACATTTTTTCATATTTGTATTAGATGGCGCTGCAATGAAAACAATCATTTTTGTTTGATTTTTCTTCTTATACGATTCTGCAATAATTTTTCTATAAAAATATCACTTTTTTTGGTAATAATTATCTTATTAAATTAAATTAAAATTTTTTAACTAATATTTATGTTTCCTTTGGTTTAAGTTTTATACATTATTTCATTCGGTGATAATTATCAATTGCGCACTATGTTCACTTTTTACCTGCCAGCATTAAATCCTTTAATTTAAATTATTATTGTACTATTTTTAATAAAAATACCTCATTTAAGTTAAAAAAATATATTTTTTTGTTATAACAACTTAAATGAGGTATTTTTATTAAAAATAGTACAATAATAATTTAAATTAAAGGATTTAATGCTGGCAGGTAAAAAGTGAACATAGTGCGCAATTGATAATTATCACCGAATGAAATAATGTATAAAACTTAAACCAAAGGAAACTTAAATATTAGTTAAAAAATCAGATTTAATTTAATAAGATAATTATTACCAAAAAAAGTATAATTAATAATTAATTAATTAATTAATTTAATTTTAATTGAAGCATAAAAAAATGGTATTCAGTTTTAAATAATAATTATTATTGAGGTATAAAGAAACTATTTCTAGTTTAGCATTATTTAATCAATTTAGTTCGAAGATTAATTTGCAAACAAAAAGACCTCCTTTCGTTAAGCAGTTATTCATAATGGATTTTTTAACAGTGGAAGAAAAAATAGAAATGATTTTGATTTATGGAGAAGCAGGCAGGAATCTTGATGATGCTGTTAATATCTACGCTCAGCGTTTTCCGGATAAAATTCGATCAGGTACCTAATTTCACCGTACAGTCAAGCAGTTTACTACACACGGGAGTGTTTAACCGAAAAAAAGAGTTCGTCGAGCAACAGTCACAGGTGGAAATAATGAAATTAATGTATTAGCAGCAACGGCTGCTAATTATCATGCAAGCACACGAGAATTATCTAGAGAATCGATTTGGGAATATCCCAGAGCAGTGTTAGCAGAATATTAAAACGAAATGCGAATTAATAAATGCATTGAAGTCGAAGGCCACCATTTTGAGCACCTACTTTGATTAAAATTTAAGAAATAAATAAATTTAAAAAATTAAACCAAGTATTTTATTCAAAAATTATTGGAGAATCGTATACAGAAGAAAAATCGAACAAAATTGATTTTTTTTCATTACAGCGCCATCTATTACAAATATGAACAAATGTTTTAGACCAAATCTACCTCTTTTTAGTCGAATGATCCGAATCTGCAATAAAAAATAGGGTGTTCCATTGGAAATTTTAAAGTTACCCCTTGTTGCCTCTATAAGGAGGGAGTATGAGGACCAATTTTAGTAATGATTGATTTTCCCCCTCGAATCATTTAATGTTTATTTTAAACAAGTTACATGACTCACCCTGTATATCAAGTATCTAAATTAAAAAGGAGGAGTCATCATTATTATTTATTATTCCACAAAGATGTGTCTGAACTTTAATAACTATAATATTAATTCATAAATAAATCCTGAATATATTAAAGAATAATAATAAATTTATGTATTTCAAATAAATAAATAAAGCAGTTTTTTTCTTTTTTAAATTTGTTCAGAAATCACAAGGTTTTTCACGATTTGCTTAAATACCCTGTAAATTATTATTTTTCGTTCTTATTTTATCCAGCATTTTTATTTAAAACTATTTTTTTTTAATGTATTGCTCTTTTAAGCTTTTAAAAGTTTTAATAAAATAATCATATATTATATCACGAGAACTATGAATTTATTCGGTTTAACTAGGCTCAGTAGTTTTTTGTTTAGTTTTTGTTGGAAAATGTTGAATGCAAAATAATTTAGGAGGGGTTTTATTTTTAATTATTTTGCATGAAACTATTTTCCAAAAAGAAAAATCAAATAAAAAACTTACT